GCCAACCAAGCCTATTCCTCATACAAATAATACAAACAGCCCACAAGCACAACATTACTGACAATCCACATACATGCACACAACAATACATGCAGCCTTTCACATTCAATATCACACATGCACACCACCAAACACACAATGTGACATATCATCCAGACAGGGCCGGCCCTTCTATAGGAGCAGGTGGGGCCATGGCCAAAGGCGGCACTTTAACAGGGGCAACATTTTGCCACCGCTCTGTCTGCCCCTCTGTCTGCAGTCTGTCTCTGCTGCATATATATACATATATACATATAAATATATTAATATATATATATATGCAGCCACTGCTGCATCTAGCATCAGTATCCTGGAAGCGGCAATAAATTCCGCCCTCAAATTCCCGCATGGAGGATGCACCTTATGGTGCCCCTCCCCCCCCATGCAAGCAGTGTGAGCGCATAAGAGGTTGCGAGGGAGCTGTAAACCTCTTGCTCTGCTCCCTCGCAGGCTGTCTACTGATGACGTCATATTCTGGCTCCCTGCATCAGTAGACTTCCCCCAAGGGAGAATAGCAGGAGGGTTACAGCTGTGATACACTCACGCTGCCGGCCTCACAGCAGCCCCATTGGACCCCAGGGACAGATCCACTCCAGCTCTCCCAAAAGTAAGGAGGATGAGTGGACAATTTATAATAATAATAATATTAAAGGGACACTCCAGGCACCCAGATCACTTCTGCCCATTGGAGTGGTCTGGGTGCCATCATCCTTAACCCTGCAAGTGTAATTTATGCAGTTTTTATAAACTGCAATAATTACCTTGCAGGGTTAAGTCCTCCTCTAGTGGCTGTGACTTCTGGGTTCTTAAAACACGAAACGTCCTCACGCTATTGAATAATGCTTTCCCATGAGGAGGTTTAGTGCGCGTGCGCTGCCATTGCCACGCGTGCGCAATAGGTCTCCCACGCTGTGAGTGGCGGCCCCAAACTATAACCAGATGAAGTTTGCCGCCAAAATTAACACAAAATTAACACAATAGCCCACATACACACAAATACAATGTTTACAAAGCAACTTCACCACCTTTAAATAACACTTTAAATAACACAAAAAGAAAACAGCTATATACACATCTGAATTTTAAAAAATTGGATCGGCACACCAAGGCACGTCAAGGTCTTGTTTTGCCACAGTACTACTAAAAGGTTTCCTACCCCTGTTCTAACATGTTTAGATAGTTTATATCTCCCAGCCTCACTCTGCGGCGTGCTAAGGAAGCTGAGCAGACAGCTCAGAGGAAGTGCTCCCTCGCCAGCTGCCCGCCCAGCGCCGCCCGCCCGCTTGGCATGTCTGTTAGCCACAAAGCTAACAAGGCATTTGCCCTGGGCATTTGGGGGCGGCTTTTTTTGCCGCCCCCTGGAAAATGCCGCCCAAGGCAAATGCCTTGTTTGCCTCGCTGCTAAAACGCCCCTGGATGTAGGGCCATAGGAAATGGTACGGTTAGGGTGGAGCTACTGGTGTCACACTATACAATCCATTGATTGGTGGACAGGAAAACATCAATGCTCACGACAAATGATACGCTAGGCATTTGGTCTAAACCCTGCGTGCCCCCTTGCGGTCCGACTTGCAGTGGAAACGCTCACCTGAATAGGCTGGACCATTCTAACCCTTCCGAACTGTACCGACCCGTACCGCTCAGTGGAAACAAGGCATAATATGTCTTCTAAATGTATTTAAGCAGGATACAGAGTAACAATATACTATATACAGCAGGCTATATGGAATGTATAATTGCTGGCTAACAAGGGTATATTACCTACATTGTTCTTTGGCAAGTAATACAGTTTAACAATGCAATATAGCTACTAAAAAAGGATTATGTAAAGAGCCCCAACATTATATAATATATCATAAGTATATGTATCCTGTAGTAACAAATATAATTTGCTCAAAATAGATTAAATCCAAAGATTTTAAAACAGTTTTAAAAATAGCCCTTTCACTGTTCCTTCAAGGGCACCTGTCAAGGAGGTATAACCGAGCTTGCCTCAACTATTTTGACATACACAAAACAAATTCAGTAAGAATAGCCGTCACAAAGCGAAAATAAAAACAGGTCACAGTGTGCTAAATATATCCATGTAGTAGTCAAGTATAATAAGTTTAAGAATAACTGTCAGAATTGCATGTCTCAAACTAAGCACACAAACTTGAGCCCACGACGAGTGTTTAGTCTCTGGCAGGCTCTTCAAGGGGGAACGAGTTGCTAGTTAATCTCCCTTTAATCAAAAACTCCTTCATGGTTAATATGATAAATAAAATATATAATATCCAAGTAAATAATGCAACACAACAAGGATGGTATCGGATTGAGAATGTAGGTGATCTGAGTTCTTTATTATGAAAACCTAAAAAAGCACGTCCATCGCTGATTAACATAAACGCCACCCAGAGGATGGTTCTGGAATAATACAAGTGTGAAGGTAAGGACGATCGAAACGTACTGATTGGAAAACTCTTAGCTAGTGAAATACTTATGTGAAACTAGATGTTATAGCACAATAAAAGTGTATCAATAAATAAATCAGAAATGCCTATACAGGAAATCAGACAGATGTACAAATATATCCAACCATAGGGATGAGGCACCAAATTAATATTGATTAAATAAAATCGTAATGGTGATATATAATGTAAATCAAATTATCAGTACAAGATACAGAATGTCAAGATAATAATCATGTATAAAAGGTAATTTAGATACCTAGGAGTCATTGTTTAAAATCGATAGATCCATCACGATTCAGATTTTAAAAGGAGTTGATTCATATTTCCCTTACAAAAGTTAAATTGTAGTCCCTGAATCTCCCAAGAATTTTAAATTTTGGGGATTGGCTTGATGGTTAAATACAAGTCTGGTGATAGGTGCTGTGACATAAGTATTGGTAATATAATTAATGTGCTATAGAAACCCACAGCAAAATTGTTGATAGGCTTTGCCTATATATTGCAGATGACGTAAACGCGTGATCAGGTAAATTAGATTTGTAGAACTGAAATTAACAAAAGAATTAGTCTTATCTTTTTTAGAAGTTTGATTGCAAATAGCAGAAGATGAAAGCTGAATGTATTCACAAGCTTTACAGTGTCCACAACGGTAAGTACCTCTACTTACCACACTGACACCCACTCATATACAGTTACACATTGCCAGATACATACACTGACCCCCACTCATATACTTATTGCCAGATACATACACTGACCCCCACTCGTATAGTTATTGCCAGATACATAGAGTGACAACTACTCATATACATATTGCCAGGTACACACACTGACCCTCACTCATATACATATTGCCAGATACACACAGTGACACCAACACATATACACAAATACACATTGCCAGATACACACTTAAATACATACTCCCAGACAAACATAGGTACACACAGATACATATTGGCTACAGACATTATGCAGATTGCCTACCTTGGCAAGCTGTAACAGAGCTCATTTGAGTCTGGAGAGGAAGTGAAATGGCATCACATCTTCCCAGAGCTCCCGCATACAAGGGCCAATGCATTCTGGGTGGGCACCCATTCTTTTGCAGCTTTTCAATTAAATCTGTTTTTTTGAGCCATCTTGATGTCTCCTACTAGAGACTCCTACTGCGTAGCATTACAATGCCCAACAGGTTGTGGGCCCATATTCTTGGCTGGGCCCCTTACAAAATGATCAAATGTACCACGCTGATGGTAGCCCTGCTCTTAGCGTGCTGAACGTGTCATTTGGCTGCAGGAAAATAGCGTATGAGGATGCTCCATGTATCGCAGACAGCCATGCTGGAGAAAGATGATCCTGTGTATATATATATATATATATATATATATGTATATATATATATATACACATATATCTACTGGTGTTTTTACCTCCCATTTTCATACATCGAATCAATGGCACCTATAAGTGAACTTGCCATCATGCTATTGGAGGCTGGCAGGTTCACCTTAAATTATTAGAATATATAAGTGTTGTATTTTTTAAATAACGGTAATATTTTACGGCACTGATTATGTATACCATAAAATTATCTTTTTTACCTGTTATTACCCAGTTGTCCTTAAATAAACCACAGCATAAGGCTACTGGCTATAATGAGATTAAAGGTCTTTTGGCATTGAAGAGATTAATTATCTGCATTCTGAATTCTTACTTTGTTTCATATTAATTAAGTCAGACCATATAATGAGGTGGTTTTAGGACTCTACGACAGCTGTGCAGTCTACTGAACTGAAGCCGCAACTCATTCTTATGGTCTGGGGGATACTCTGGTGCTTTGTTCGTTTTGCCAGGTTTTTGTGACCTCGGTTTATGGCAGATGGTATACTCTGAGAGCGGTGCACCCTCAGATATCCAAATAACTGAAAATTTAAATCCAAAACATTGTTGACACATAATGAAGGATTAATTGCTTTGGATTTACACCAATGGCTATTTGTGATGGGTAATATAGCCTCCAGATAGGAGGTCTGTTATACTCAACAAATATCGAGGCAGAGTTATATTTACATGATTTCTTCTTGTTTTTGTAATTTTAGTTCGTACATCAGTAACTTTGAAACCTATATCTGGAAAGATTCCAAAAATATGGAACAGACATATGCTACAAACATAACACCATATGTGAATATAATATAAAATGCATATGTTTTCTTTAGTTTTAATATATGTGAACTTGGTGATGGGCCCACATTAGCGATTAGCTCAGTGCCCTCTATATTCTACTTGGGAGAAGAAATTATGTAAAAGTAGCATGTTTCTGAGTAGTTCATGTTCCACTGGAATGTACATAGTTAGGGTCGACATATCTACCACGTTTTCCTGGACACACAGAAGTTCATCGTGTTGATTGGAAGCAGATGAAAATGCTGCCCTGTATTATGGATAATGCATATGCTGTAGAATTCCTGATTCACCTGATTTACTACCTGTATATAAGGACAACTATATGATCCAACACGCAGAACTATGTAACACCTACATAGAACAGAAAAACAGACAGAATGTAAACCGGTCCTTAGAATGACCAGGTTAATACATTGAAAAATAGAGAATAGTCAAGGGAAAGCCAAGGTCAAGGGAGCCGGAAATACACAAGATTGATAAGAATGCCAAGTCAGGTAAACCAGAAATTAGAATAGTCAGGAATATCCCAAGTCAAATACCAGGAATATCAATAACAAGATCAGGAAAACGCACTCTCGGATACCAGGAGCGGAAACCACTTCAGGGCAATGAGCTAAGGTGTTCTGGGGTTTAAATACCTCCTTATGCTGTGATTGGTCAGAGCTTGGCCTCTGACCCCAGAACGTGCGTGTGCGTTGACGTTGTGACGTCACATGCACGTTTGCGTAGGCTACAAATGGACACAACCTCGTGGTCGGCGCCATTTTGGATCCCGTGTGTGAAGGGGTTGGACGCCCCAACGGTTCGGCTCCCGGCTTGCTGCTGCACAGGTAATTCCTTTGTGTGGTCACACTGATCGGGTGCGGCCGTCAGCTGGGGGCCGTGACACTGTAGCATTTGACTTCTACATACTGCAGGGCAGCACTTTCTGTATGTTGTCCATCTGTTTGTATAAATGATATGTGTCCTGGAAAACATGGTGGATATGATATCCTTATATATAGTATATGTCGCTTTTAATTCCTTCAGGAGATATGATGGGCCAAGACTGTCCAGATATTAGCAGATTTGCCTAATCCCCAGTCCAGAAAGGCTAATGGTTTTCTTTTTTCTCTATTTCCCCCAAAAGTACATTTAAATAGCTTGTTGCTTATTTGCCATAAGTCAGATGTTCGCTTACGTCCCTCCATAGATTAGAGAGATATACAGTAAATTACAGATAAAGCAACTACTCCATAGTGCTCTTTTTTTTACAAAATCAAAGTTCTAATTCTGCCTAGCTCAGTGAAAATAGTTTTTTATATTATACCAGTCGTTACATGGTAATGTATATTGTTCCAACACTCAACACTTGTGAGTATAACCAGAAAAACAGCCTTGTTCTTTCATTGGGTTGCCCAGAATGGAGTCTGTGTTATTAGGTTTTATTTTGAGCTCAAAATCTTGGAGAGGGAGAGACAGAATTAGGATAGATGTAGATTTGGGGAGAGCCAGTGATGAAATGGGTAACAGAGAGACAGAACATGGGAGAGGGAGGGACAGAATAGGGAGAGGGTAGAGATGCTCAGGGCTCCCACCAAAAATCTCTGGTCCCCTTAAAATAACTCAGGTACACACTCCTTGCTACACACACAGTTACACACAAACTCTTCTAGAATACACTCATACACCTTGCCAGACACAAAAAAACTATTTTAGGGACAAACACACATACACAGATTCCCACAGTCAGACACACATTATGCCGGTTATGATTAGCCATCCCAGAAGCTTGGATTGCCCCGTGATACACTGCTTTACTTCATATGATGTGTTTGAACTTTCAGATCTTTCTGAAATCCCATGATACGCAAACAGCATAAAGGTTTGGTTGAGGCTCACATTAGTCGTGGGGGCTCACGTCTAAGTTTCGAGAGGGTTCCAGAAGGCCTATGACCAGTCCTGAACATATGGGACTCTTGCCACCAGGATCTTAGTGTTGTAACGGGTTACACAGCAAAACGTCTCTGGGGCATAGAGCTTCAATTTATAACCAGGGCTCTTCTTATACATTCAACATGCATAAAGGTCATTAATTCAAGTTAGCATAAGCTAAACAAATAAACAACTGTAAAAAAAAAAAAAAATTTAAAAACTTAAAACAAGATACTATTTCTTTGAATAAAAGATTTACACCTGTACAATTTATTTCACTGCTTAATTCCTCTTATAGCATGGTGCCTTAAATAAGTAATACACTGTCAGCTGATGATCTCTAATTATGAAATATGTTCTATATAAATGAGTTAGATAAATAAAAAGGTACATCAGTTATTGCGAATATATAATTAAAAAAACTCAAATATACACATTCTGCTCATTATGGTTATTAATATTACATTATAGCATCAATATTTTCCACGACTCTTTAAAATTCTATATTTTTTACAAATGGTAGAATGCCAAGCAAGCTCTTATGGATGGCAACTCTCTGTCTAAGCTAGGCGGGATGTAGTAGTTATGGTGTTTTTAGTGTTCCTTTGATTTGGCATGCCAAATACTATAAAGAACTTTGATTTTACTCCTGTGACGAAAGCACCTTCGTCACTGGGATTTGGAGAGGCCTGCTTGCCAGCCTCTTGCCCTGTGACTATGGCCCCTTTGGATATATTGCCCTTTAAAAACACTATTTGGGCATATTGGATTTTAAAAGCACTGTTTCTGCCCCTTGGACTTTTAACTGGAACAGATTCAAACATGTGGCGGTGGCCATCTTAAATTGTCCATCAGTGTTTTGCCGTCGAGTGTATGGAACTGTTTTTGGCATGGGAACATGTGCACGGTGGGGCAAAAATAAGACTTCCAGGACATTCCTGAACCCATGAATTGATCTGGGTGATTTTTGGATATGTTGTTCACCCAGATCGGGGCTATCAGGGGATGTGTTGTATTTTGGGGTACTTTTTGGGGTTTGTAAAAATTTATGTTTTTTCTGCTTAGAGTTAATTGAGTTAGTCCATTGTCTTAGTTAATTGTATCACAGGCAGAGGGGAGGGCTTGTGTGCTGTATGTGGGAAGGTCAGACATTGTTGTGTTGTTCTGATTGGTTTGTGTGCCTGTGTTCCATCAGGCCCAGGGAGTGTGCCTCTGGCCTGAGGAATTGTATAAATTGTGAGTGCTGGCTTGCATTAAAGAGACCTGTTCTACCCTTCATGAAGTCTTGGCTCACTCTGGGGATTGCTATAATCACTATACTCCCCAGAGTATAATCACTAGCTCTTGTAAGAGCTGTTCCTGTTCCTGCTCTCTGGATTACAAGAGAGGTCTACCTACTGGAAGCTGGATCCTGGTCTTGGGTCCAGAGTGGGTGTAAGACGGCGAGACCCCAACTAAGCTGCGGCGGTTCGTGGGATCTGCTGTGGTTATGGTGTATAGTGGAGTGCATGGAGCCCTCAGAAAGCACTAGGAGCATCCGTCAACGTAAGGTACCCAGTTGAGGTGCCAGGTGATCCGTTACAACCACCTCTTTTTTTTCTCATAAACCTTTTTCAATTTTTCCCAGAAATTTCTTTTATTTAAATTGTATAGAACTTATTATTTATTGACTTGTTTTAAATTAAAAAAACTTACATGAATATCCTATACGATTTATTTTAAGTAGCGTTTTCCTCCAGGCCCTAGCCAATACTTTATTGCAGTTGCTCATCCATCCTGCAATGTTTAAATAGCTCAATAAAAGGCCGTAGGTATAGATGTAGTTCCTCTGACGAACGGAAAATATTTTGACAAATTACTATGACAGAGCAGGTTTGATCCCAATAATAGAGGTGATGCTCAGTTGAATGGATCCACTAAAAATAGTAACAAAGAAACTGACAGGCGATCCAAGTCTCTTGTTCCACTGAGTCTGCTCATTTATCTGTGTATTAGAACTATTTATACCGCTTATTGACATTGACAGTGAAGGAAAGACTTAGAGATTGTTTTCACTATACAAGGAACGTTGGAGATTTGCCAAGGGATTGGCAGATATTAGGATGAAAGAATCAAACAGAAAAGAAATTCTACAGTTCAGCTATTTTTTCCAGTATTGACTATTTTGGCCTAAAATATACAACCCATGATAATTCTTTGTTTCTTCATTCTTCATTTACAATTTAGTGAACAAATTCCACAGCATATTTTGATAAGTAATGACAACTCATGCAGGGTTTTTACGACCGCAATGGCAAAATACAAGATTCCGAAAATTCATAAAACTTTGGTTTTTACAGAGTTATTAACTAAAGTGAGAATTTACAGTGAATTCAAAATCAATTTCAAATTAAAGGCCATATGAAACGATCTAGAAAAATTTGCCCAGTCAGCAATGCTTGCAGCTCGGCTACTTTGGCCTTAAATTTTAAATTCACTTTGAAATTCTAACTTTAGTGAATAATTAAATGCATCCAGCACGATCCACATTCGCTCATAGATTGTAAACTCGTCTCATAGATTTATTTATTTTTCAATTCTTTATTTTGGTCATGACATATGCCATAGGAAGTACAACAATCAGACACAGAGTGGCTTGCGCAGAAACCGATATGATCAATATGCTCAGTTGCCCTCTGGGAGCATCACTAAGATATGCGTAATCTGTCAATATTTTTACCTTTTTATATAAAATACATATTACATAATAAAAAATAGAACCACAAATACAAGAAATTGTGAACAGGTTATGTACCATTGAGTGAGGCCTTTACCCCTCGATCTGTTCCCATAAGTCCCAAACTTTGTGGAAGGAGGTCATTGTGTTTCGTACCTGCGCTGTCAGCTTATCCAGTCTCATTTTTAAGCTTGTTTAAGCAGGACTAACTTCAACTCTTGTTTTTGTTATTAAGTTATTAGTTGTACATTAGTTGTACATGTTACTTAATAATAATAATAATAATACATTGTTCACTTGCTTCCATGAAAGTACTATTTCCCAATTGCTTATAATGCCAGCAGGCAAATTAAATTTTTTTTTTTTTTTAAATCTAAGCCTAGATTTGAAGCATTGGGTCTGGATTTCAGCCATCCGGCGACATTCGGTCTGGTTGTAATCTGAACCATTCGGGGGCCTGAATTTCAAAATCCGGACATTGGTATATAGTGTGAATATTGTCTGGATTTTGCAGTCTGAATGGGCAGCCAGATGGTTTTGCCCCATCGGTTCAAGCCATAATAGCTGAACTGGAGAAATTATTATCATTATTATTATTCAAGTCTTTGCTTCCAGTTTGGCTTCTTTGGACTTTAATTTGATTCTCACTTTAAATTCACTTTGGATAACTCACAATTCAAACTTGAGTTAACAATCCTGATAGGTAACACTACTGATTAAACTATTAACTAGCTTAAGCAATTGTACTCAAAATGGGCGGAATTCACTGTGACGTATACCTACTAGGAACGTGTAGGCTAGCGTTTAATCATCTCCATTCTAACCGAGAAGGTCTCTGCTGGCCACCCACTCAAGGCAGGCCAAGCACAGAGCACTGCTCCTAGAGCGCAGATACCATTCAGCACAGTGTGAGCCTGTCTAATGATGCTCATTGATGTGGACAATTCCCTGGTGCCCCAGATGCTAAGGCATCTTGAAGTTGTCAG